ATAATATGGATGTCAAATCAAAAATCGTTAAAAGATACTTAAATTGAAATATCATATATAAAAAATAAAATACAAGCAAAAATGTTATAAATCTTAAACTAAGAAGAAGAAACATTTATAATAACTAATGAATGAATTAATTAAGAAAATGAAATGTAATGTATGGTAATGTAGGAAAAATAATATAATAATTTATAGTAACTAATTGTAGAAGTAAAGAAGGAAAAAATCAATCATGGATTAGTGTGATAAAAAATATTAATTTATATCCATTTTCCAAATAGGATTACGAAGCGTGAGAATTTGCCACATATGTTTGTTTAATATTAAGCAAAATATATTAATTTTTGCTTAATTAGATGTCTACGTCAAGTGTCGTATCCGTCGTGCTTTACAGTTTTCTAACTTTAAATGTAATTTTAGAATCTAGATAAATAATTAATTATTTTTATTAGATTGATAACATATCAATTATATTTGAAATAAATATCATATTTAAAAGAATACAGACCAATTTTTGTTACTTTATAATATAATTTATAGTTTTATTTGATATCTTTTAATTTAGTTTGATAAATAGACTTAAATTTTATTTATAAGAATATATATTACTATTTTGTATTTTATATACATAATATGGATGTCAAATTGAAAATCTTTAAAAGATACTTAATTTGAAATATCATATATAAAAAATAAAATACAAACAAAAAGGTTATAAAATCTTAAAATAAGAAGAAGAAACATTTATAATAACTAATGAAAGAATTAAATAAGAAAATGAAATATAATGTATGGTAATGTAGGAAAAAGAATATAATAATTTATGGTAACTAATTATAGAAGTAAAGAAGGAAAATCAATCATGGATTAGTGCGATAAAAAATATTAATTTATATCCAAGCCCAACTCCAAAGCATGATTTTTTGTCAAATAAAATTACGAAGCGTGAGAATCTGTCACATAAGCTCAACCCATTCTGAAATTATATATAGAGGGAATTTACAAAAATCCTTCGCGAAGCTGCGACAATTTATAGGTTCCAAATTGTATTTTCCATTATTAGATTAAAATGTCAATGTGATTTAGTAAACTCGATGATTCACAAGTATATTACGACATTTATATATCACATTAGTGTATCATTTATGAAAATTTTGTTTACTTGAAGCTATAAAATTAAACAAAAAAGAGAAACATATTATGAAAATATTGTTGTGATGCTATGTTGGATTACAAAATTTAAAAGATGAAGAGAGAAATTCGAGAGAGATTGAATGCGAAAAGGAAAAATGATTGTATTCAGAGTTTTGAGAGAATGATGAACACTGCTTTCGCAATGCGTGGTTTTTGTTCTTTTATACTTAGGGTTACATGGGGATATAATGATAATATTACAAAGTAGACCTATAATTGCTAGTTGTAGCATAGCAACTTTATAACATTTTCTAACCTATGTATCAATATCCCCGCAAGCTAAGCATGTATATTATGCATGCTGAGCTTGGAGAAGTATGTAAAATTAGTGTAAGGTAATGGTTTAGTTAAAATGTTTGTACATTTATCCTTGGATGGAATGTGCTGCAACTTTATGATCTCTTGAGACCCTCTTTCTCTAATCAAATGACAATCAATTTGTATATGTTTTGTTTGTTCATGAAAAACAGGATTAGTAGCAATAGCAATGGAAGATTTGTTGTCAGAAAATAAAGAAACAGAAAAATTGTGTTGCAATCTGAAGTCACCGAATAGGTACAATAACTATTTAAATTCACATGTGGTAGAAGCAATTGTCCTATATACAACTTCTGCTGAAGATCTACTAACTGTGGATTGTTTTTTAGATTTTCAAGAAATTAAAGAGTTGCGGAAGAAAATTAAAAAAACTTGTAATGCTCTTTTCTGTCTCAATATAAGATGTCTAATCACTGTCACAAAATGCATTTAAATATAAAGCAGAGGTTATTGGAAAAATGATACTCTTACCTATTGTTCCTTTTATGTACCTAAAGACATTATGAGTAGCAGAGAGATGACGCTTGGAAAGAAATTAGCTCAATGTCTGCACACTATATGCAATATCTGGCCTAAAATTTGTGAGATAGAGTGACCTTCCAACTAACTTTCGGTATGCAGTTGGTTAAGTTAAAATTATAATTCTCATAATAGGATTTTAGTTTTAAAGCAGGATCCATAGGAGTATTAGATGCTTTACTACCTGAGAACCCAATATCTATTAAAATTTCTAAAGCATATTTTCTTTGGCACATGTTTATACCCTGTTTACAATGAGCAAACTCTAAGCCTAGAATGTACTTGAGAGTTCCTAAGTCTTTTATGGTAAAACAAGAATCAAGATGTGAATTAATTTATGAAATGAGTCAAGTTATTGCCAATGACAACGCTATCATCAACATAGACTATTAATGTAGTAAAGTATTAGTCAGAGTGCATAGTGAATAAAGAACAGTCTGTTGTGGACTGGGTGAAGCCATATGCAATTAGACATTGTGTTAATTTATGAAATCATTGTCTAGATGCTTGTTTTAATACATAAAGATTTTGAACTAAATCGCTTACATAAAGATTTTGAACTAATTTGTATACTCTATTATCATCGCTTACAATATCTAGGTGGGGTTTCATATAAACCTCTTCATTTAAATCAACATGAAAGAAGACATTATTCCCATCAAGTTGATGAATATTTTAGTTTTGATTAGCGACAAGAGCAACCAAAAATCTTACAGTTGTTATCATTACAACATGAGAAAAAATCTCAAAAGAATCTATACCCTCTTTTTTTAAGTATAACCTTTAGCTACTTATTTACCATCAGATTTATATTTTATCTTAAACACCTATTTACACCGCTTATCTTTTGGTAGAGTAGTTAAAACCCAAGTATTGGTTTGTTAAAGTGCATCAAGTTCTTTTCTCATAGCTATCAGCCAAAGTGGATCTTTTGCAACTTGTGAATATGTCCTTGGTTCATTTAATAATGAGACGGATGCAGTAAAATAAGAGTGAAGTGCAGATAATGAAACAGTTGATAAGTATGAGGAGATTGGATATTTTGATGTTCCAATTGTTGACATTCGTCATTTTTACGTGCATTTTAAAACTATTTTCATGCCCGTTTTGTTGTAGTTTGATATTAATTTATTATAGATTTAATTAATTATATTAAGCTATGATAAAGTGTTTTATTCTGAGTTTTGACAGAAAATATGGTCGAATTAATTACTAATTAAATGGTCCACAATATTAAAATAATATAAATATTATTACAGAGTTAAATTTAAATTTTGATTAATTTATTACGAAATCAATTATTCCCGTTTTTTCCGATACAAGAAATTCATCTATGAAAACATATCCATTATCCAATACCACCTAGTCAAATGTCCAATTTGTTTAATTTTTATCTTAAAAACTGACAGTTAATAGAGTAATTCCATATTAGATGGAGCCGTTTGAGAGACTTTCAAGAATCTTCAAAGACCACACACAAGTGACGACACCCTTTTTCAGAGAGAAAGCCTCAAGAGTTCTGAAAAATTCAAAAGGGCTAATTAAATGTGCGCACGATTTTTTACAGAGCCAAAAACGCACACGCAGACAGAGGAGGTCTGGTTTTGAAAAAAGATGGAAAGAAAAAGAAAAATAAAATTTTATAAAAGAATGCAAAGATACTGTCGTGTCCAAGTTGGCATTTTCAAGATTCATCATTTAAATAAACCTTTACTCATATGTCCCTTTCATGTCGCTTCAAAACCTTTGCAAATTACCTTATTGTCCTCATTCAACCGCATGCTCTTCCATGTCCCAACACTTTCTACTTTAATTCAAAATTTCAAAAAATATTGAAAAGTGGTGAAATTCGATTCTACCTGTGAGGATCCATGGTAAAAAAATTTGACAGAGAACAATACCAACACTTCTAATTCCTCCATATATTCCAAACATGTGCATGGATTTCAACTTGAAAATTTGGCATCCATTACTTTTAATTCCCTCAATAAATTCCTTAATTAATGTAAATGGAGCCTAAATGGAAAAAATAAAAATGTAAATTGGATAAATAGTAGTAATATGCTAAGTTTATACTATTTATGTTGTAATTATTATTTTTTAGGAAACTTATATGATTAAAATTAAGTTGAAAATAATAAAATAAGTGAGTAAAATGTATTTTTTAATTATAAAAATGTAACTAACATCACTCTAACCTATTGTTTTAAATAGCTTACTACGTAGCTCGCTATATGTTTTTTTCAAAAACATGCGACGTAGCTGTAATATTTAACGTTTTTCCTGGAAAGCTTACGCAAACTGTTGAAATGATATAATTTTTAGGCTATTATACGCTATTGCATGCTATTTTGCGTTATATTTCTGTAACAATATTTAAACAATAAAATATTAAAAAACATGTATTTTTTAGAGAGTAAAGTCATATTTTTAAATGACAATAAACAACTAAAAAAATTGATAATGATTTCAAATTACAATTTTGAAAATGCAAAGTCCTAAGTTGAATAGTGTAATATTTATCAGTCTGGTTCTATTATATCATTTTATTTTTTGTTATTACTTATTAGACATTTAAATTAAACAATAAAAAATTCAAATTTGGTGGTTAGAATTAAGTTGTAGCTAAATTAAATAATTAATTAAAATATACTTACTTAAAATTAAACTATACTTATTATATTTTAGTTGTTCGCTTTTATTTTTCAACATATTCACTTTATTATTCAAATATGAAATATTTAAATATTTATGTTAAGATATTTACATTAAACATTTGAGAGAAATAATTATTAAATGTTATTTTTGAATCATTCAAATACTATGAGAATTTTTGAAATCATCATATGCAAAAATATATGTGTATATATATATATATATATACATATATAATATTTCTATAAAATTAATTTTTTATACCCAAATAACTTACGCAATTTACGCTGCGCAGTGCAAAGAAAAAAATGCGACCCATTACACTATCCACGACTTTAAAACGCTGCTCTAACCTCAAGTGCTGTTGGTAACCCGTAACAATATAAAACAGTACATTGATGCAGGTAACAGTTTTACAGTAGATTGTCCACAGACGAACACGTGTTCATAAATGCCATTCAACTGCTCTCAATTTTAAATCCATTTTCTCTTCATACGTCGAATGCGCCTCTTCTTCATGTGAGTGAAACATATTAATTCATCTAATTAATCTTTGTGGCTGTTTTACGCTGGTTTTTCTGTGATAATGGAGTTTGTGTGACTTTTTATTTAATCATTATTGTTCAAAATTCAATATGAGATAGACAGTTGTTATGCATATATACACGTTTTGCACTATTGGAGTATAAATTTGAGATGGGGCGTTTAGATCTGTGATTTAAAGTACAGAGTTCTTCAAATTGTTTTTGTTTTTTGTTTTCTTGGAGACAAATGAAAAAACTGATAATGAAGTAAAGTTTCTTGTTTTTTTATTAGCCCACATTTGCTTTTAGTGAACAATGCAACCTCTGCTTTTTGTTTAGAAAAAAGGTTTTCTTTTGATGTTTGTAGGATCTCTTTCTTTTTGGTTGAAATATCACACGATTTATCCTACACCAAATGCAGACAGGGAAAAGAGTCAACACTGTTTACCTTAAAGACGAAAGCTTTGTGAATCTTTAAGTGTTCTTTCAGGCAAATAATCTTTGCACACCTTTTCATAGTTTTCAGTAAGTGGGTTAACAAAGTTGCTTCCTTTTATTGTTTTTCAATAANAGGCTTTATCCAGTGGCATGTCTATTGTTAATTTGTTATTAGTTATTATAGCATTGTATAACATACAAGCTGAATATCAATAAAAGCTCCATACTTTACAAGTTTATCTGATATCCCCTCATTGTGATTTTGCAGATTTGACTGATTTCACTACTCTCTGTACCAAATCATTCAGTTGTTTCTCATTTGTAGAAAAATGCCTAGATCAAGGTATTATTCCCTATTGCCACCAATTTCCTTTCTTGCATTCCTTTTTTTTCTGTTAAATTGTTAAGTTTTTTCCCAAATTCATTTATGATTCTTATAAACTGTTGTTTTTTTCCAGAGCCACAGATTTGCCTCAACGCCCTTCTCCCCGTGTGGGCCCGCCTAGCCTCAGGACATCGAGCTCCGATTCTGATTCATTAAATCACCATTCTCGCCCGAGAACCGATAAAAGCCCGAAACTATCCAACCCAGTCAACCAAAAGAAACTCGGTAGCCGAATAGCCGAACTCGAATCTCAACTCGGTCAAGCTCAGGACCAGCTCAAATGCCTCAAAAATCAGTTGGCCAAGAAACAGCCGAGAAAATCTCCCGAGCCCATCGAAATTCAAGAACCGATCGACGAGTGCACTGACACGTCATCATCTGTCGAACCGAAAACCGATCAAGAAAATGAACTAACAATGCTGAAGGCCAAGTTGGACGAGAGGGACAAAGAACTCGAAACCCTTCGTCAAGAAAACAAGAACGCGAAGAAACAGGTCGACGAGAAGCTGGTCAAGATATCGTTGACCGAGTCCGAAATCGAGGAATTGAGTATGAAGGTGAAGAAAATCGAGCAAGAGTTGGAAAAGAGTAAAATTGGAGCGGCCCACATAGCGGAGAAGCTTGAGGCTGCGGAGAAAGGTAAGGAGGAGCTCAAGGACGAGATGAAGAGGCTGCGTGTGCAGACCGAACAATGGAGGAAAGCTGCTGATGCTGCAGCTAATATTTTGGCTGGCGAGAGTTTTGAAATGGAGGGTAGAATGGATAAGAAGAACTATGGAATTATGTTCGAGAGGGCTAATAATGGTGGTGTGGGAAGATATGGAGGTTTTGTGGGGTCACCGGGAGTTTGTGATGACTCGGATGATGGTTTTGGAGGTGGGAAGAGGAAAGGCTCGTCGGGTATTAGGATGTTTGTGGGTGATTTTTGGAAAAAGAAAGGACATAGATAAGAGTGTTTTTGTTTGTAGTCTTAGGGTTCGATGGTGTGTCGGATGGGATCGTTGTTCGGTTGTTAAGAGTAAATGGCGAGGAAGCCGTTTTTGGGTGATGTTTGGAATGTGGTGTGTTTGTTCTATTGGTATGTTGTAGTAAGGAGGTAGCCTAGATTAGACATGTTTGGATATCTTGTGCTCCTTTAATGTTGTGATGTTTGAAGTTGTCATTTTTTTTCAATTTTATGGGGGCATTTTGCATTGCATGGGATGAACTTGTGAGTTTTGAAGATGATGAAGCTACTAGTTGTGATGATTGAAGTTAGCTTTCGTATTGATTCAAGTGTTTTTTGAAAAAGTTTGATTTTTTTTTTAATTGTATCTGCACTTGGAGGAAGTTTTGGCATTAAAATATAGTGAACTTGGGAGATATAACTCATAAGTCAATATGTATTCAGCCGGCGAAAAGGCATAGATAACCACCTATTAAAAACTATTTCTATAAATAAATCTGATTCAGAAGAATTCCAAAATTACTTCAATGCATTCCAAAATAATATATCCAATAATAGTGGGAAGTTATATTTCAGTAATTAAACCGTAACTAACATTTCTCTCTAATCTTTTTTTCTTCTTATTCTCTCTTATTTTTTTTCTCTTATTTCTCTTTTAATGTTTTCTCTCTCTTCTCCCTTTTCTTCTTCTTCTCCTCTCTTCACGTTTTCCCTCTCTTCTCCCTTTTCTTCTTCCTTTTCTTTTCTTCTTCTTTTCAAAATGAATGCCTAAAGAATATAACACCAAAAAAATAAAAAATAAAAAAATGATTAACTGATTATACACATATATAACAATTAAATTAACTAAAGAACAACAAAAATATTTGTTTTTTTTTTAACTTAAAATCGTAAAAACATACAAGATATTAACAACAAAGCAACATTATAACATCGGTAAAACAACATGAAAACAACTTTATTTAATAAAATTGCAATTGTCTTGTTTAAAGCAGAACTAAATTATAAACCAAGAGTACATAAAGACTCCAACATACCACTACAAATATCCACATAATATCATAAAAAAATTAGTAGAACAAATCAATTAAAATAAATTTATTAGAAATTTGAAAAGAAATATAATTGCAAAACGATAAGGAAAAGAAGGAGAATAGATGATGATTAGAGAAAATGGAAAACAGATAATTTATGTAGAAATTCGAAAGAAAAAAAAAACTGACAAAAAAATGGAAGCTAAAAAGTGAAAAGACAATTACCTGTCGTTGGGATTTTTTTCTAGGGNAAAACAGTTATTACCTTAGAATACAAAGAACGGATAAAAAGAGTATTAATGGAATACTGAATGATGTGTATCAACTAGGTAAAACATAATTTTAAAAGGTCATAGGGTGTCCTTTATTCGTATTCAGCCCTCAGCTAGTTTTTTTTGGCCCATATACAGTGATACTAATCTTAAGCGAACACACCGAGAATAGTAGCTATCAATAATTTGCATATAATACATGTTATGGATGTATAATTGTTTATGGAAAATTTACTTTTTGACAACAAACTTTCGGCTGTAGCAGAGAGCCATTGTTTCAATTATTTAACTAAAGTAAATGTAGCACATCAATTGCCTAGAGCTAGGAGGTCAATGAAGGAAAAAACAAAAAGAAAAAGAAAAACGAAAAAATTTATGGGAGAAGAAATATATAACTTGGGAAATTATTTTCTTGCTACTTTTCAGTATAGGGTGGCATAGAATATAAAAGTTGCTCAAACATCATTAGCAAGTGTTTTTCCAAATTCTATCTGATGTCAACTTTCAGGAAAAAGCTCAAAGGAGTTTCAGGGATTCACAAGTATCCATTGATTTCACAGCAACTTTTTCACACAACTTTCATAACATGCCAGTCCACAAAATGAATCTCCTATAAAGACAAAATGTTACTTTATACCCACAAATCACAATCTTGCCAGCAACTATAGGCATAACCTGCTTTCAACATGAAAAATCCCCACAAATTATTATAATCCCTATGACATTTTTTTTCCTTTTTGAAAAGGTGACTGTTCTTTTTCTGTTCTTTTCGACAAGGTGACAACGTGATATCAATTGTTACTCGTCATCTTCATCACTTCCATACAGCTGGCATAGGGATTGTAATCCACTGCTCGTAACAGATGTGGGTTCAGCATCTTGCTTTTCTTCATATTTGTTAGCCGCTGGACATTCTGCATCGCCCTTCACAGACTCCTCCTTGAGCTTGTTCCCATTCGACTCTGCAGTTGGTTTCTTTACAATTGAAACCCGAACAGAAGAGGACTTGAAAAGAAATTTTCCCTTATCGGAAGCCCCACGAGCACCGACATTATCTGTAGACAACCATGCGAAGATATTATCTATACTGGGATTCCACAATGAATGCATTGTGCGCCTAAATTTTATTTTTGAAAAATTCACTAGAAATCAACCAAGACACAAAGTTCAAACACAGTGAATTTCTATAGCTATAAGGATATCGCCAATGAATCGTAAAGGTAAGCATCCATAGAAAACTTCAAGTACAGAAATAGAATCCTAATCAAAGTTGTTCGAATTTTTCAATATCGTCTCCAGTAGAAATTATTGTGCAGAAGATTGACCATTTTACCACCCAGTGTGAACTTTGAACCCCAAGGAATGAGTTAATTCAGGGAAGGAAGTCTTGATTGTGGTAAAGTGTAAAATTAAATAGAGTATAAATAAAAAAACCGAAGGCAAACGAAAAGAAAAATTCCATTGCACTAGAGAATTCTGCACTTCTGAAATATATTAATGAAGCAGTAAAATATATTGGTTCTGACAAGATAAAACTACAATACACAGACGCGCACATATCACTACATATATTGAAAGTTTATGTAGCAAACCTTGACTGCTGGAGCTGCCAACGTTGACTTTTGTCAAAATATCTGTTGGGTTAGAATGATTCTCTTCATGCACTTTTATCCTCTGCACAATTAACAAGCATGCTTAGGAACGAATTTCATTGGATCTTATTAGTTCAACAAAGAGCAATTATTTTACTCCTAACAAACTGTCGATACATAAATCAGTAGTCATTTTTGTTACTGTTCCTTAAATTAAATTTGGTTGGGTCTTTTAGTAATTGATGAATCGCCACTTATCTCAGTAAAAAGTAATATTTATACATATCCACATTTTCTAATCCAAACATCAAGGACGCAGGTAAAACAACAAAACAACTAAAAAAACACTAAAAGGCCTCAATCCTACATTTAACAAGTACTTTAGCAGGCCTCAGAATTAACATCAATTTATATACCCTTCTACACAACACATTATACATTTTTCGATGCCCCTTCATGTGACTTTTAATTTCATTTTCCCATCTCCGACTTTATTGCTGTTCTATTGGAGAAATGGAGACACTGCGGGTAAGTTTTACAGATGGGGTAATCAAGGGCACCTTTAGGATGTACTCCAAATTACGTATCAGTAACAAAAAGCATGAAGAGGCAACACTAGTGTTTGCTAGTGCACTAGGGGAATGAAATGGGAAAAATTGTTGCTTGTAGGAAGCCAAACCAGCATACCTTAAACATCATTTTGTTTGTTCGCTTCACAACTCTAGTAAAGGTAACAAAGGATCTTTCTATTTTCAGAATTTAAATAAAATCCTGGACAATCTTTTATGAAAATTCGTACAGAAAGACACTCTCAAGCTTGATGGCAAGTAAACTACCTTCGAAGGACCAGTTGATTTTTCATCAGTTTCAGTAGCAAATAAATACTCATCCGCATCATCATCTAAATCTTCATCATCAATCCTTCGTAAAACCACAGGCTCACGTTGTCCCTATGTTAAAAGTAGCACATGGAAAACCTAAGAATTTGGACAATAACAAAGCCTAAGCCATACAAGAGAGGGGAGAGAGAAATCCCCTACATACCTTGAACACTGATTTTATAAGAGCTTCATCTTCTTCCTCTAACTTCCTCTCCTACAAAACAAACACCCACTTAGAAAGGGTTCAATCGAAACAGCATGACTACAGGCCAACTATAGCTGAATGCAAATAAGTGCTAAAAATGACTATTTTCTGTGCTGCAGCCAAAATATTTACATGATGTTGTGGGGATAAGGTGGCTGTTATCACATGCATTTCATGAATACAAATAATAATAATTTTTTTCCTTTTTATAATTCATCAACTTCTTGTGTTCTTAGAAAACCCTAGGAAATTTAAAGGTTCAAGTACCAGGCCGGAATCAGCAAGTGGAAAGTGATGTCTAATATTGTTCAATAACCTCAGGTACCTGTGAGACCTGATTTGGCTGCAGAAGGCCAGAAGCCAAATGAGGGAAAAAATGATACTTAAGAAACTTCATCATGCGACATAATCATATACCTGTAGTATATAACCAGTAATAGGCTTGAAGTGTTATATGAAGCTTACAGAATCATATACTCCAACTTTAAACAGAAATAAAACTTCCATGACAAGACTGGTAATGTTTCACATTTGAAGGCTTCATCTATTAAGCAGAGCAACAGTTCATAACTTTTACCGCACTTTGATAACTTAAAATCCCCTTTTCTCTAATAAGTCAAGTCAAGCGGTACATTGCTTTTGCTATTGTAACCAATGACTTACATCCATTTGCATAAAATGCATTTTGAGCACATGCAACTTGTACAAAATGGAGAATGAGAGTAATTACCTTGTGCTCATTCGAGCGTTGCAGAGCTTCCAGCATTGCATCTACACTCACAGTTGCATGTCTTGACTGAAATTATGGAAGGTTGGAGATGGGGGCAGAAGATCAATTAGGTTAATATTTTCAGATTCGTGTGTTCTAGGAAAAAATAAATAAATAAAACAGAGAAAAAGAAGTAACATGATCTGTAGACACCAATTACTGTGAGTATACCAATAAAATGAATAATCACCTTCATAGATTTCATTTCATCCAAAGTCGCAAGGATATCCATTTCTCTCTTTGAATCCAAAGTTCTATTCTCCAATGACTTCATGGCATCACCCATCTCTTCAGCTGTCCTTTTCTTCTTTTCTTCCTCCACTTGCTGATGATAAAGAAAAATAGTTGAGTATAAATTTATACTCGCGTGTTATAACTATGAAGAAACCAGATAACGGAAATACCTGCAGCTCAACAAAGTCACCACTATGCATAACAAAAATACTAAGACAGGGAAGAAAAGAAAAAGGATCAATAATTAACCTCATCCTCTGCACGCCAAGGCTCGAAATTCCTACTGGCACCAGACTCAACAACATAATCTGAATTTTGGGGATCCGTCTTGAAAGTTATTTCTGCTGAACATTTGGTGCACTTGAAATAAAACCTGAAAATCTGAATGCCCAGATAGGTCTGCAGACAAAAGGAAACATTGCCAAATTTAGAACAAAGTAGATCACCACAGCTCTGCAGCACCATTTTGAATCAAATAATCAACATAGGCTTACACATACAGCACATACAAATTCTGGAATCATTCAAAGCAGATAATCTACACCGTGAAAAAATGCAGATACACTGCACTACACAATTACAAAGATAAAGCCTCTCCCATAAATGATGCTTTGAAGTTTAAATTTTATTCATAGGATATTTATTTTTCAAGGATATTAAACTGGAAACACAAAAAAATACACAGCCACCTAAATTTATACGTTCTGAAATCCTCAGGATCGAGAAGGATAGAAACAAAAAGCTAATTGCGTCACCACACTGGACTATGTACCACTCCATCCAAATGTACAGCCTTTAACCCTCAAAATTTCCCTAAACCCAAAAGCAAGCAGAACAAATTTCAACATCACAACGGAATCAGAAACTAAAAACCAACCATCATTCATTTAAAACAGCAGAAAAGGCACACAAGTACACAAAACCCACCTCCCCCACGACATCTTCCTTACGGGAATTGAATTTAGTTCCCTTGTAGATGTAATTGCCGCATGTCCCACACCGAATACTCATAGGAAGCATCATCCGCACTTTCATCTGCTGGTTCTTGGGTTGCTTCCGGCGAGGAATCTTTGCCGGATCGAAGTCCGGCGGGTAGTATTTGTTCAAAACCTTCCGTTCTCCCATCTTTCTTTCGGCTCAGTAGAACACCAATAGATGCTAGAATCTACCTGCCAGAGATGAAAAAGAGCTTTTCAGGGATGGAGAAAATGGCCAACGACTAGGACGCCCGCGTATATGAAGGTATGGGATGATTAAAGGCAGCAGCGCCTCGAGGTGGGTGATCGGCGCATAGTGTGATAAGGTAATGGGTAGACATGTCAAAATGGGCCGGTAGGGCCCAACCCCGCAACGGGCACGGGCTAGGCGGGCCAGCCCGTCTCATAATAGATAAACAAAATACAAAGGCAAAAAAACATGGCAGAATATGAATTAAAACACAAGTCATTCAATAATCATAAATCACATTCATTTCAGAATTAGAGAATTTTAGGTTCAGCCATTTCATTTTCAGAATTCAGAATTCAATAAACCGAAATCAACAAGTTAGTTCAAATGTTAAATCACATTTCATTTTGAGAATATGTTCAGACATCACTACCGGAACAAATCCTTGCAGACGTTTCTGTTGCCGTTGCTGATTGGAGTCGCTGCCGCTGGCCCGCTCACCGGTCGCCGCTCAAATCCGCCGCTTCCTTGCCAGTCTCCGCCGCACACCTATCACCGGCCGGGCTGCACAGGTCCAGAGGGCTGCTGCTGCCGCTTGAGAAAATGAGAGTTGAGGATGAGGTTAGGGTTAGCAAAGGGAAAAACAAAAAAAGCCCCGTCTCTCTGTTCACTGTGTTGTGAACTTGTGACGCAAAAAACAAATAGAAAAAAGGAAAAGAAAATAATTAAAGAGAAGCGTGCGTGAAGTACCGATGTGTTATTGACTAATTGTGTTTGTGTAAAATACTTAAATCAATTGTTTTTATTATTTAATGGCGGGTTGCCCGTGGCCCACCTGGCCCGGCCTGCACTGGCCAGTCCGTTGAGCGGGCCTTCAAAACACCAACACAACCCGCCTGTTAGGCAGGGCGGGCCGCGGGCCCACGCTCATTTTGACAAGCCTAGTAATGGGATTGGGTTGGGGATGATACAAGGGACGATGAATTGAATGGAACTAGGGGCGAGCATGGTCTGTACTGTTCGGAGATTTTTCGGAGATTGATAAATCTCTAGAACCGTACTGAAGTTCGGAGATACTAAAATTCGATCTCCAGAATCATACCAAAAAATCGGTTCAGTCTGGTTCGGAGATTTTTATTTTTCGGTTCGGTTCGGTTCAGTTTTCGGTACTATCGAAACGTTTCGGTTCGGTTTGGTTCGGTTCGGATAGTCAGAGATTTCTTATCATTTTTAAAAAAAATTTGAATGACCACCTAGTTATATTTTATTTTTTTATATGTTTTCTTTTTTAAAATCTAACATTCATCCATACTAAATTTTAGTTAAGACTAAATTCAACTAACATTGAATATTTAAAATTCAAACAAAATATAATACAGTTTTATATTAAAGTAATATTTATTTAACCTTTCATATCATGTTAGTTATAATATAAATTAAGGCTAAGTATCGATAACTTTAAGTAAAGCTTAAATATTTTTTTTAAATCTTTAACCTTTCATTCTATTTTTTTTTTAAATAGGAGAAATTCAATTGTAGATCAAGTATTACTAAACATGAAATGTAAGTGAATCTTAATTGTTATTACTATGTTTTATTTGTATTTTAAAAATTTTTAAATTATATAGGATCAAAGTTGACATAAAATATATTAATAACACGCATCTATTTTTACAATTCGGTTCATAATTTCAGTTCTTCCGTTCGGTACGGTACGGGACGGTTCAGTTCGGTTCTCGGTACGGATATTTATGAATTATCCAGAACCGTACCAATTATTTTTTTGGTTCGGTTCGGTTCGGAGAAAGTCAAACGGTCAACGAATATTTTTCAGTTTCAAGTGATTTCGGTTCGATTTTCGGAACGGTTTAGAATTCTCCGAGTCCCATGCTCAGCCCTAAATGGAACCAAATGGTTGTATAAATATAAAATATGTTTAATTTGGTTTGTAATTTTGATATTAGTACACACCCGATGCGCGGTCTGAGAATAAATCTTTTGTTTATCACATTTTAAAATGTTTATTAAAAATGATTCATAACTCTAGAAACAACAACAATATATGATTGTATGTGATTAAAAATACAATATGTTTTTTCCTTAAATTTTTAAAATTAAATTCATTAAATTAAAAAAAAAAACATACAGGCGATATTAAATGGAATAATGTTTTCTCATATTAATTCTATGATTTTTTTTGTTTATAAAATTTCCTCTTTAATAAAATAGTTTTCATCATCTTCGAACAAAATACTATCATTATTACTATTATACAAATAAACTGCTATACAAATAATTAAAGTTAACATATATGAGTCTCCTCTATCGTTTCGNAAAAGAGAATATACAGAATTTCAAAAATGCTAAATAGGAAGTTACTTATACAACCAATTCAAAAATTAAATAATAACCCTGCTCTCTCTCTCTCCACTTTTTCTTCTCTCTCTCTTCTCTCTTTTTTCTCTTTTCACTTTTTTTCTCTCTTCTTCCTTTTTCTTCTTCTTCTTCTCCTTCAAACATGAATCCCTAAGAAACAACACACAAAAAGATTAGTCAATTGATTATATACATAACAATTAAATTAACTAAAAAGCAATACAAATATATATTATAAAAACAACAAAAAGAGATACATAACAAAACAACCATATAACTTCTTTCAAGCAACATAAAAATAACATTGTTGAAATTTCCAGTTTCCATAAAAATGTAGAAACAGGGAGAATTAAAATTTCAATAAAAACTCAGAAATGAACATAATTTCATTTACCAGAAGAAAGAAGAAAATTGGAATGTGCAAATTGAAAACAATTTGGTAAAGATGCATATTTCTTTTATTATTTTGAAACAAGAATATGCTCCTTGTTTTACATAATGTAATCAGACTCTTGTACTACAAAACTCACACGTACATATTAATTATTTTAAGACAAACTAAAAAAACCGGCACGTGTTTGATTGGTCGGAAAAAGTGTGTATTTTATATATTTATTAGCGTATTTTTATATGCTAAATTTTATCGCACTTATATATTTTTTGACTCATTTATTTATTAGATGGATCCAAGTGTTATGATTATTTTTATGTCTTATTTTTAGGATATTGGAGTATTTTTACGGGCGATGTATCAATAAACAAAATTCCAGCCTGCAGAATACGGGGTACCCCTTACTCTGCCCCATACCACCCCATACTCAGCCCAATATTGGCATGGGCCCAAGATTTATGGAATTAATTGTACACATATTATGGATTTGAGGGCAGCCCTTATTCACGCAGCCAGAAAGAGCACGACACGGGAAACAGAATCAGACACACTTGGAGACGAGGAAGCCCGACAGAAGCGGAGGGAGGCCGCACCCATACACGAGGGAGATAATTAATCTCTCTCTTTTATCTATTTTTTCTTTTTATTTATTATGCTAGAGTAGTTTTTATTTCTAGTTCCGGGGAAGTCGAACCCTACGATTGACGATGTATAATTAATTTATATGGTTGATAATTTCAACTAGTACGTAACCCGTGCGATGCACGAGATGTAAAATTTGAAAGAATAATATAACCTCACGTGCATTAGGATCGAAATTGAAATCATTAAAATACATATGAACATTGTTGAATCAGAAAAAGTTCGGTAACAATCATATATTATTAAAAACCTCCTTGTACACAACATTATGAGTTTGATTATTTGGTAACTCCTCATTATCACAAACTAATATTTTCAAAAGAGACAAATCCTAAAAATCAAACTAATATTTTTGGTGAACAAAGTAATATTTTAGGATTAGTGAACAAACTAATATTTTAGGATTTATAGGATTTGTCTCTTTTTGGTGAACAAACTAATATTTTAGGATTGATTATATGAATAAGGCTATCTGTTTTTGGTGTTCTTTTCATTCATTTTCATTCAAACAATCCGATGACTTGTATAGTGAAATCCAAATCTTAAGCCGAAATATTTAAAAAAAGAGTTTTTAAAAATTGAAAAGTCAAAGCAATCAGTTCAGATTAATTAAAGGTCAAAGAATATCCGCTCCTTGAAATAAAGACGTGTGCTATCATTAACCAAATATCTGGTTATTGATATAGAGTGGTTACCAAAAAATAGAACGCGATAAGGACGCTTTATGGAAATATCAATGGATAAGGTCATAACAGATCGCTATATATTTTAACGATAAAAGCTCAGATGGAATGATTTATGATAATTATGTCGTAATTAATGAATTAATTAGATGTGTGAAAAGGACATAATTAATGAGAAGTGTGAAAATGACATAATTAATGAGAAGTGTGAAAAGGACAAAAACTTACCGATTTTGAAAAAGATTTAATGCAAATCCGACATTGAACATAATTTGATCTACTATTTTGGATAAATGTTAATTCTTATTATATAAGTATAAATTAAAGATTCGGGGTCAAACAATGTAAAACTATTTTGTATAAGAAAATATGAAATTTACATTATTTTGTATAAGAGAATATAAAATTTGCATGTTTAATATTAAAAACACCTAAAATATGCATATCTAAGAACATTTGAATTTAACATTGTGTAAAAAAGATTTTTCTAGACTATTTTATAAAGAAAATATGTCTATATTTAAATTTAATATGTGTATATGTATATATATATATGCGTATGTTCTGTATAGTTTTTTAGAGATAATAATTCAACACGTGTATTTGTTTTAGGAAATGAATAACAAATTTAATACCAGTTTTGAATAATGATAATGTGTATGAAATATCTTCTCCTTATAATAAGATTTTGTTTTTGAATCTTAAAATTATCCCAAGTATCTTCTCTTTATAATACGATTTTTTTTCTTCAATTTATCGTTAAAAAAATATGTTTAAAAGGGTTACCATAAAAAAATATGTGATAAGGATGCTCGTGTGAAATGGGATTATTTCGTTACCATAAAAAATTATGCGATAAGGAGGCAGGCGTGCGCTATTAATGAGGCGTGTGAATTGGGGTTATTTCATGAGAATTAAATCGGTATAATTAATGAGTTTAAAAGGCATGTGAAAAGGACATAAATGCTGAGAGTGTGAAATGGACATAAGAGTTACCGATTTTGGAAATTAATAAATGCAAAACTGACTTTGACCATTAATTAAGTTACTAATTTTGATAAATGTTAATTCTTATTATATAAGTATAGATATCTTTTTAGAATTGCTTGTGTTATTTTGAATAATTAACCATGATGTGTTGAGTTTTATTTAGATTGATCACCTAGATTAGACTTTTCATATCTACAGTTGAATCAGACCTCCAATCCGTAATTGTTGTTGTGTTTAATTCATTAGAGGCTACCGGAAGACGGGTAACTACCGGAGATAACACGGTCTAATTAAGTGAACGAACGCGGTTGAGTTTACTATTTAGTCTAGCCTATTTTTCTAATTCGTAAAGCGGCTAATTGTATTAAATCTTGAAAACGTTTTTATGGACTGTACAAGAAGTCAAGTTTAATCGTAGAGCGTCTCGCGATTAAATTAAAAATAAGGAAAAATTTGGGTAACAGACCGTGTCGTTGCCTAGGGCTAGTAATTCCATAAGATAGCGAGATTTGATACCAAAGTTGATTAGACGAGTCGGTCGAGGGTGTAGACGGAACCGTGAACTAGAAAGTTCTCTTCATTTATTTATTTTTATTTTTATTTCATTGTTTAGATATTATTTGCTTTATTAGAATTTTAGTAAATTTAGTTATTAAATTCAATCCCCCCCCCCCTTCTTTTATTGCTTTTATAATTTCAATTAATGCAAGAAAATTCACATTTTAATACACACTCCTCGTGGGATCGACCCTTGCTCGCCACTACTACTAGTTAGAAGAGGCTAGTCGAGGAAAAATATAAATTATAAATTTGCCGCGTTGCGACGCGCGGTCAGTGTTGTTGGAAGAAAGGCGATCGTGGCCCGTCAGATGAGCTGTTGTTCCACGAGAAGGGTGCGTTGATGCGCGTTGGAGATCGAGTCGGGAACAAATAAATTCAGCGTGTCTTGAATCGTCAAACACAACCTGTCGATATATCGGGAGACAAGTTGTTCTGTCGTCTCACGCATGTCGAACCTCGTAAGAGGACGATACAGTTCGCTAGTGTATTCGTCCACCGACCGTGAAACCTGCCTCAGATTTTGCAAACACTGACAAATCGTACGCATATAATTAAAAAGAAGAAACTCACGTTCGATGTGCTTCCGGAACCTTCAGCTTGCCGATCTAATGCTGCACCATCTTGAGTTGTTGCCACCAAGCGGCGGCTCCACCTCTCAAATGGGTTGCGACCAACGCCACACGCTGGTCATCTGACACTTCCTTGTAGTCGAGTGCGGTCTCGACTGCGCCCATCCAATCCAAGAATTTCAATTCATCCAAACTTCCGGTGAGTTCTAGAATATTAATGTGAGATAATGACTCCCACCAAAGCGCCTCGATCAGAAAGTCATTATCTCGAGCCGGATGACCAAAAGGGTTAACCTCGAAGAGAGTTTCGTCGTCCTTACTTTCTCCGATCCCTGATGGAGGCGACTGGGCGCGGGGCACCCCGCCTACGCCTCGGTCGCGTCCCCCGTGCATCCTATCGTGCCCCCGCCATGGGCATGGTTCGATCGATTGCTGTGAAAAGCGGTACTGAAAGCAAGGGTGAGGTCCTCGATCCTCGAGGTCAGATCTGCCATGACGGTCAGTCGTCTCGTATCGTTGCATCAGTGCGTCAATGGCGGCATCAAGTCTCTCATTGGCATCATTCTTCTTTAGAGGCATCGTGGATCGATCTGATCTCTGGATACCAACTGATGTAGCAAAAGCAGAAAGAAAAACAAGAGATAAAATTTCAAACTTATATTTTTATTCTTCAATCAATCACCCCCTCAAAGTAAGAAGAGGAATTTTCTTACATAAAACTCCTAAAAAGTCTTAATTAGTTAACTTGCCTACGACAAAAATGATTAAGGAAAACAAAACATATATTACCAACCAAATCTAATAATGCAAATAATAGTACGAATAATAAAAATAAGGAAATAAATAATTAAATTAACGACAATAAATGATGATGCTTGTAAAGAAAGGCCTGCAATTTCGTCTTCATCACTTTTGTAGTATCTAATTATTGACAAATATTTAGTTGTAGTAAAAGTCATATNGTGAGAAGTTTTTACTTATGTAGGCACCTGGGATCCAAACATATTACCCCCAAAGTTGTAATGGAAAAACGAAGAAAAATGCACACACACTAACCTACAAACCAATTAATAAAACTAGACAATAAATAAATATTACTAAAAAGACAAACATGCAAACAAATCCAATCCAATCTAGTCACAACATGAGAGACAAATAATCCAGGCCCGAATCATTATCGGGCTCTTGATCATTCCTAAGATTACTCATCCTAGTCTTACTCTCCTTACTCCTACATTCTCATGAGGCCTCCTTCTAGGCCCATCAAAACCCGACAAGTTTGAGAAAATGGGCCTAGAGTGGCCCGAACTCCTTGACCCGATATTTGGGAACCCAAAAGTGGAATCCTTTCTCGAAAATTGAGGAACATTTCTTGGCCCGGGCTCACCCAATTCGGGGTACGATGGTCTTAAAGGGGCACCGTAGCCGATATGAATTCCCGGTTGTTGAGGGGTATGAGGGACATTGTACGGAAAATTAAACGAAGATCTATCGAAAAAATTATGAGATCTACTATACGGATCCAAAAAAGGGCCCGTTGGGCCTATACCTGGTAAACCATCGGGCCGGGCTCAGTATAGTAGCCGAAATGCACATTGTTCTCCATTTCTCGTGCAGTTTTCTCGACCGCGCGCTCGACCTTGTGAGCGTTTTGGTGTCCGCCCAACGCTTGTTTGTTGGAGAACTTCTTGTCGCAGTACTTGCATCCGTACTCGCGATCCTCATTGGGCTCTGAGGCCTGTTGGGCCTCGGGATAGGATGGGCCCAAATAATCCTCCATGTCCTTGCTCGAGACGTTAGAAATGGCTTGGTTCGGACTGGAGGGATGATCCATTAGAGAAGGAAAATGACTAAATTGATAATGGAGAATGAGAAATCAGATTGGATGGAGCCAAGATGGAAATACAGTAATTGTAATGCTAGTTTTATAGTAGTATAAAGCCAATATTGCGTGAAATTTTATTCCAAAAATTCCAGTTTTTATTGCAACCATATATGCTTGTAGTGAAATTGTGCTTATCCCTCATATCCCTTGTTGATTTTAAGGATGGTAATCTTAAAAACTTGTTTCACTATTGTTATCTCGTGGATGAGAAAGGGAAAGAGAAGTACACTGCACAGGCTTGAAATTGACAACTAAAATTTGAAATTAGATATTCTTCCTTCCATGAAAAACTTATTTGCATTCAAGAGAAAAAAATCATGATAAAAACAACATTTTTTTTTTTTT